GGGAGGCAATGAGATACTGTTGCTGCTGTTGGTGTAGTCAAGTGGCTGCTTGCTGCAATTTTCACACTAAGGAAACAACTTTCTCCCCCTTAATCCTTTACTAATTTCATCAGTATTAATAATGATCAGCTGTTTCTTCTTTATTAGAAAATAATTCAATATTTAAAATTGCTTTACATTATTTTTTTTTTTATATTTCTAAGAATATACAGTGAGAGTTATTTTTTTTTTTTTTCTGTTCTCTCAAAGAAGATTTGAGATTTCATAGGAAAGTATTCTTGACAGCAAAACAAATCAGAGATACGTTTTCTTGTGACATGACTCCTGGTCTTTGTGTCCGTTTTATTGCTACTGGCAACTCTAGGAAAACTCTTCTGCAATTGAAGACATTCCAAGTTAAACTGATTGAGAAAGTACTCGTCATTCAGACCTGCAACCAATAAATTACCACCACCACCACCACTCACGTACCTTTGAGAAAATTCTATATTTCCTGACATTTTATATATATATATATATATATATATATATATATATATATATCACCCAATATTTTACTCAGTTAGAAAAATTCTGTTTCCTCACATTATATATATCCTAATATTTTACCCAGTTGGAAAACCCATATGCTGTCAGATTATATGGTAGTTCTTTCTGGAACATATTTGTCCATTGAATGTCGTCTCCTGATTACTAATAGTGAGGAGACAAAATAAACTAGTATAACTTAGGAATAAAACTGAATAACAATCTCAGGTATACTATAGATTGTGCCCAGATTTTTATATTTAAATTAATATTCAAAATTTGTTCTAATGCATTTATCAAGCATCCAATAGCATTATCTAAGACTTGAACAAATGTTTCATAAATGCATTAAAACCTGTGGATAAGTCTGCAAATAAAATTTTTTATTATATATATATATATATATATATATATATGTTTATTTGCGGAATTATACATTTATGCTCTGTTATCATAAATACATTGAGTTCTCTGTGGATCAGTTTTAATACCTGATATTACTAGGATCCACCTGGATTATATACCAACAAATATATTACCTGTACTATATATATGTAAAAAATTTTTTCTTTTTTTTTTTTTTTTTTTCATGAAAATAAGGAATGTTGTCAAAATTGCAAGAACCAATCCAAATTTCTCAATCACCATGAATTTAAAGTTTATCTGTTGGTTAAAAAAAACATTTTTCTTTACACAAGCTAAACCTTAACAGAGCAAAATCAAATTCAAAATGAACATAGTAATTAATACAGAAAGGAAAGTTAAAAATTAAATTCTAATTAAAAGAAAAATGGTCAGTACATCCTTTGTTACTTATGCACGTCAAACACGCAAATTCTATTTTGAATGATTTGCTGTGAAAATAAGTATTTCCTTCATTATAGCTAATATTGTTTGGATGCTCAAATATCTTCCTTTATAAACAGATTTCAGCTCATCTGTTTCTGACAAGGACCGAAGAATGTAGATTTACTATCGTTAACATATTTCGACAGACGATATTTGAACATCTGAACTGTGTTAAATGCATTATAGACAATTCCTTATTATGTTTATATAAAATAAATTTTTCCCTTAATTACATTCTGGGATAATATCAAATATGGTAACTCTTAATAAGTATGAATAACAACCGAAATGAGGAATCTCAGCTGGGTCTTTCCGACTGACTGATGTGTCAATTTTACAAGTTTTCCCGTTTTGTGTTCTGTATAATTAAGTTGCTTGCAGCTACAGAAATATAAATTCTAAACTACAGTAACAAAAACAACAGTTGGAATAGTTGGTGATGTACTAAAAGAAATTATAATAAAGTCTTATGCTGGCCAATGCTGGAAATGGGAGGAAATTTAAAATAAAACAATTTAAAAAATAAAAAAAAATGTTTATAAACAGAAAATAAAGAATTTATTGTAATATAAATCTTTTTTTTTTTTTTTTTTACACCTTTTCTCTTTTCTTAGCATTGCTAATACAGACATGCAAAAATATTTTTGCTTTACTTCGACATTGCTTAGCAGAATAATGTTACATTTAGTATAAAAAAAAAAAATTAAATAAATGTATTATGGGCAACATTTATTTGTGAAAACTGAGCCCCCCCCACACACACACCTTTTCTTCTTCTTTTTAGCCATAAGAAAATGAATGAATGCATACATCTTAACATGACAAATCCCACTGCCATTTTTTTTTAATCATTTCACCACAAGAGAAGGTTACTAAGTGTTAGAGAATGAGAAAAATTACTATTATGGAGAGACGACAATGAAAGAATAAGACAGAAGATAATGATTGATATTGCATTTAAATTTTTGAAGATCAAAGTTGGCTGGAAAGCAAGAAAAAGTGTCAGAAAAGAACTTGTGCTTACATCCAGCAATTTCAACTGTAAAATGAGGAGACCTTGCTGCCAATCTAATACTGTGCTTAAATTTATAAAGTCTAGATACCATAGAGGAAAGCTCATTGGAACAATTACCATGAAAATATAGAAAAGGCACCGGGAAGTTATATTAAGGTTAATATCAATCCAAAGGGCGTCTCTAATAAAAGTCACAAAATGTATCCAAATCTGCACACTGGAAACAGTTTTATGAATAAGAGGTTCTTTTCTAATGGACAACTCCAAAGAGATATCAATACTGGTAGCAATAGAAGAATTTAAATTTGTTTCACAAAGTGTGAAGGTATCTGGAGATTATTTCAAGAGAAAAGATTCCACATAATAGAAATTAGAACAAATATCATGAATACTGGTGAAATATGTTGAGGTGGGTAGTTGACTTTTTTCTTTTTTTTTTATTTACTGGTTTATAGATTTACATAAAAAGATTGGTTTTATAAATAAAGAAAAACATCCCCTTAACTACGTTCCTCCACTAAAATCATGAAACCTAAGATTTAAATTAATTTAAAAAAATGTAAAAGCTTTCATTGAAAGCTAAAGGATTAAATTTACTATTTCCAATAAGCAAAATACTCTGGTGTATTTCAAACAGAAATTATAATGCTTGGAATTCATTTTCATTTTCAGAAGTTATTTCTCAGTTTTAAAAATCTTGCAGAAACAAAATAGACTTCTAAAACTTTATTTGGGGAATATTAGCTGATTTAATATATAATAAATAATTTAATAAAATGCATTTCTGCATTATTTTAAACTTAAACAGTAGCCATGTTTACATGTTTGACGAGTGATGAAAAGGTGGTGACAGCTTTATTGTACTACAGAGATTTTATCTAAAACAATTTAAGAAAATGACATAAGTGCATTTTTTATATAATTTTTAAGTACTCTAATTTAAAAAATTTTGGGAAAATTCTCTAATCTAATTTTAGGAATGTTGACTTAATTTACAGTCATCACTCACAGTTTCCGATGATGTGTATGGTTGCCCATACTTTCAAAAATGGATACATTTATACAAAAAAAAAAAAAAAAACTTTTAAAAAATCTTGTTTGAAGACTGGTATTAACATTTACAATTTAGAGTTTTTACTTAATAATATAATTTAAATGGCTGAAATTAATACAGGATTTTAAAAGATTTAAAACAAATTTTTCTTATTAAAATTTAAAAAAACTTAAACAGTTCTTGTAAAAATTCATTATTCATCCCCCCCCACAAAAAATCATTAAAATCCAATAATTATTTGATTCTTTTTGCAAGAATTTTCAAATCAATGGTTTTTTTTTTTGTTGTTTAGTGGGAAAAGACACTAAAATCCTTATAGTAATCTTTGGCCCAGCTGCTGATGGAAAAGATTTTTAACCAAAATTTTGAATGCGTTAGAAAGGATTAAAAAAATTGAAAAAAATACTTTGGTCTTTCCTCTTAATAACAACAAACATTTTGACAATAAAACTTTGTTTTCATCATGGTATGGGTTTTTTTTTTTTTTTTTCTTGTGAAAAAGTGGAGGTACCTCCCTACCCTTAACAACAGTGTCCCTCATCTGCTTCAGATTTTTTCTAGATGGGCCTGTGTCAGTTAAACCTGTTTGACACTGCTTAACATCAAATATCTGGTGAAGGAAAAGCTTACTCTGAATTGGCCACACCCTTCAACACTACAGTTAACTACTGAACACCACAACTGCAGGTGTTGAGTGTTGCCACCCCTATATATATATATATATATATATATATATATATATATATATATATATATATTAGTGATTTACTCTCAGACTATTTTGTTGGAAATTTTGATAAATTTAGGCTATAATATTTGATTGACCTGAATTCTTAGCTAAGTTTGAAATTATGAAACCCTAGTAGTATTGTGAGGTACTGCTGAGGTGCCTTGATTCTTTGGTCTCAAAAGCATGCCAGACTCCTAGATATCATCTGATGATGAATTTGTTGGCTTTTACAGCAATATGTATGAAATATATATTATTTAAACGTTCTATTAGAATGAACAAGGGATGTCTCTTCAGCCTTTTGGTGTTGAATAAGTTGTTTGATTCCAGGTGGAAATTTGCTGGAATTACATTGTATTCCAAGTACTTTAGACCATTGTTGATTGTTTTGAAGGAAAGAAGGTAGAACGTTTACAAACGGTCAATACAGCACTTGGAGAAAAAAAAAAAAAAAAAAAATCACATAGACAATTTCAACATCTGGTTATCATGGTCAGTTTGTATACTGCTTGATTTATAATTGTGTTTTTGAGATGAGGAATTGTCAATATATATTTTTTTTTTTTCAAACAATTGTTCTTGGCTTTGATTGTCATCACAGTGTTTCAGCCAAGAACCCTCTGGCAACCTTCAGGGGTCTATTATCTTTGGCTGACATGGGATGTGTTGATTGTGTTATCTTTTTATAATAGTTGAATAAATCAAAGCATTATTTACATTTAGATTAATACATCATTTCATTTTTATCATTTCCCCCAAGGCAAGGCAATAAAGCCACTAAGATACAAGGGGTTACTGAGTGAAAGGAGCAGGGAAATTGATTATTGAGGAAGGACAATAAAAGAACAGATGACAAATGACATTGCATTTGCAAAGGTATTAGTTGACAGAAATGCAAGAAGCTGGAAGAGAGCTATGCAAGAGAAGAAATTATTAGCATAGAACTTATGGTTACAATCTAGCAATTTAATCAGTGAAATTATAAGATCTAGATAACAATCTAGTATGGTGCCAAAATTGGTTCTGTTGTGGTACCAAATAGAACAAATGACATGAAAGTATGAATAGAAAAGGCACATGGAAGTTACAGCAGTGGAAAAGGAACTGAAACCAAGATGTCTGGTAATGTTGCAGATTTTTTTGATTTTGTCAAGAATCTCTAGATATAAAGCAGAAATAGCAAACCAGATTTCACAGCAATATTCGATGCATGGGCAAATGGCAGATTTATAAATGTGCAAAATTGATTCTGGCAAGAAAATTGTCTAGTGTGACAATGACACCAGTTTCTTAGCAATGGATTCCGTATAATCGTCCCATTTCATGTCAGTGGAAAAAGTGAGACTGCGAAGGTGCAATGTGTCACTCTCCTGGAGATTAGCAGCAGGTAAACCTGTATTTTATATATATTTTCATACAAAAAGTAAATTACTGAAGTTAATGATATAAAATGGCGAAATCCCTTCACTAACAAAATTTTAAAAATGCAATAACTCACATAAGCTGTATAAGGTCTTCCTTAAATACACAAGTACTTTTGACACTTCTATGTTTGAATTTTACCAAAAACAAAATAGTTTCCATACCTAATGATGACTGATAGAACTGAATTATTTTGCCCTTGTGCCACATTTTGTAATTTTTTACAAATAAATAATGCTCTTTGTTATGGTACCTAAACTGTGCTAGATTGGTGGTTAGGTCTCATTTTACAGATGAAATGGCTAGATTTAAACCATAAGATCTATGTTAAGTTCCTTTTCTCACACTTCTTGCCTGTGGAACTCCCAGCTCCATGCTTCTCAGCAAACTTTAATCTTCAAAAATTTAAATACAATGTCAATCATTATCTATAGTCTTCCTGATTAATCTATTGTTCTCACTCCTTAATAATGTTTTTCTTTTTTCTCATATTCTATCACACTCGGTAACTCCTTGCATCTCGGTGGCTTTAATGCCTTGCTTGGGGTGTGAAATGATTAAAAAAACAAAACAAAACAACACGCACAGGTATATCACCGAATTTCCGGCATGTTTACTCTATATACTTGCATAACATGTTACCTTTGAAGAGCTAATTTTGAAGCTAATTTGACTACAGTAAATAGATATATATTTTGGGTCAATGGCATAGACAGGGCCAGCAGTACATACACCAATGTTAAAATTAGCTTCAAAATTAGGTCTTCAAAAGTCACATCCAAAAGCATGCCAGATTATCCACTTGGTCAGACTAACTATAAGCCTTGTAATAATTCAATAATCGAACCCTGACCTCCTACTTAGGCATCTCTCATATCTTGACAGCATATTTAACCGATAGAAACTAATATTAAACTATTATTAAACTATTATTAAATTCAATGTCACTTGAGGCTGCCCAAGCCCTTTCTGGCTATAAATTCAAATGCCTGCTCGTAATTTTGTCTGGATTAAGAGGCACAGTTGACAGGAAAAAAAAAAAAAAAAATCAGTGATGGACCTGTATACACAAAAGAAGGTAAAAAATGATGAGGTGTTCGAAAGTGTTGCACGAAATTCAAGGATGCTAAATGGGAATTAAGGCTGTAGACAATCAAGTTTGATTTTCTTCCAGTGACAGTTAGAATAACACAGGCAGTTCCATGAAATGTCCGTCTGCAAACTTTGTCCAAAAAGAAAATGCCTACAAAAAGAAAAAAATATAAAAAACTCATCATGATACAAATTTAAAATGAAATTCTATGTTTAATTTTAAAATGAAATTCTATGTCTGTTATGTTGACAGAGTTATATAATTATAAGGAACAATTTCTAAAGATGTATTTTTGTATCTGTGTATATTTCTGAAAACTTAAGGAATTGGCACATATGCTAAGCTAAAAAAATTTCACAAGCTGGATATGAATACAATATAGGAACCAGTAACAGAGAGAGCTAGAGAAAAGAAACAATAACAAAAATTGTAATATGAACTCTGGTAAAAAAAAAAAAGAAAAGATTACTGAGACATTAGATTTATAAACCCCCAAAACCCACTCACTGATGTCCCCAAGGACACATAGCTCATAAACTATGAACTATGCCCCACAACCAAAAACACGTCACATCGAATTAGAACAATCTACCCCTGTGGACTAAAAAAAAGGATTCAGTTCAAAATTCCAAAATATGTCACCTGAAGAAGGTCAGAGTGTACAACAGCCAAAATGTTGTGAATATGGCAATAAAGATGAGGATAACCAGTCAAACAATGTAAATAGTGTAAATATTTATTCTTCTGTATGAAATACAAATGCTGGCACTATTTAAACTATTACATTGCTTGGACATTGTTGTCCTCATCTTTACTGTTATATTCATGACGTTTCAGCACTCTGGCCTTCTTCAAGTGATATTGAATTGCTGGTATTCATTATTTTCTTTAATTCTTCCATTTCCCATCCCCTCCTTATTTGGTATAGCATGCTTATTATTTTTCAAATAATTTTCTGTGTAATTATTATGGTCAAGGTTTATTAAAATATGTCTGCATCCATAGCTATGGAGCCCCATCTTCTCCACTGTGTTAGATGAACCCAACAACAAGGTTCGCCCACCCTTTGAATGAAGGGTTTTATTTTAATCATGCTGGGTGTCTAGTTACCATCCACACCAGAAAAACTGGAGGGAACCGGTTTAACCACAAAGAACCCAACCATGTGGTGGGTAGTACTGGGTTTTCTATAATTATTTTCATGATAATTGTTTCTGATGAAAGAACAGTTTCTTCTCTTGAACTTGTTTTAATCATGCTGGATGTCTAGTTACCATCCACACTAGGAAAAAACCCAGAGGGGGAACCAGTTTAGTTGCTAATAAAATAACCCACCCAAGAGGCAGGTAGTTACATGTTGTAATTCATCAAAACTGGATGACAAACACTGGCTCTTACCAAGATGATTTCTATCTGAGAAAAATCCAGAACGATGAAATGAAAGAATTTGCATTTCGGCAGACTGAATGGCAATTCAAAAAGAAAAAAAAAGAAAAGAAAATGTTGACCATACCTGAATCAATCAGAGTCAGAGATTTCTGGATTTGGGTGAGAAGTTTTGGATTTAAATTCTTTCTTTCTTCTGTTTACTTCAAGGCCTTTCATTAAATAGAAGAAACTTTTTGGGGATTCACTGCTTACTGTGCTGTTGAAGGAATTGTTTGTTGTCCGAGGTCGAAGATTGTAGCGATGGTCCTAGAACAAAGGAAAAATATAAATTTACTTTTTTACTCATTTGAAAGCTGAACAGCTGCCAAGAATCTTAAATGTGATTCAGGGGGATTAATATTTTTTTTTTAAAACTCAAAAACTTTTAGGGGTGCAGTGTTTCCTAGGCAAGAAGTTCTGAATGCAAGTTTTGAAGTTCCTTCTCCTTGACCAGATACCACCTAAGTTTGTAGGAACCAGTCTGTCTTGCTTTTGTCGTGATGGATTCACACCTTTTTTAAGGGTATTTTTACATAAGTGAGTGTAATAGACTCGACTGGGATTCAAACTCTGATTACTCAATCTGAGCCGCTCTCCAGTTATGAATGAAGGCCTTCAAAAAACAAACATATACAGGGCCCGAGATTAACATCCTTGGGGACAATAAAAATGTTCTTAATTAGAATTCTGTTATATCTATTCAAAAATTATTTAATTTCTTACAATAAAAAAAACATTATCTCTCACAAATAATAAGTGGAATGCAACACACACACACACAAAAAAAAAAAAAAAAAAAAAAAAAAAGAAGAAGAAACCTTTGGTGCCTGATAAAAATGGAGGAAAGTATTATTAATTTAGCACTATTAGAGCCTTAAAATCCGTGATTCTCAACTGGGATCCATATAAGAGTTTTGGGGATCCACGTAAACAAAATGGCAAATTGGGTGTTCACGGTAGTATTTTAGTGAACAATGAAAAAAAGAAATTAAGCTTCAGACGTATTTGTTGCAAGAAATAACCAAGTTCAACATCGTCATTATCATGTAGTGAACATTTACAGTCAAGGGAGATAACCCACTGTGATCTACCTTGCATTATTTAAACTAAGAGGATTACCTTGCATTACAGGATGAATCATAGATTCAGGGAGGGGAGCACGAGACACCTGGACCGGCCCTGTATGTCTGTAGAATGTATAATAGTATCCGGGGGTAAAAAAAAAGTGGAGATAATGAGACAATAATCAAAAAAAATTTATAAATACGTTTTGTCGACATTTGTTAGGTTTGTCATCTTCAGATTAGCATAATTCTGCTGGGAAAGTTTCAAAATAACATTAAGCTCAAGCTCAAAGGGGCCATCCTCCCAGGAGGGGGCTGGGCTTATTATCTGCTGCCTGAAGTGTTCCCAAAAACAGGGAGTGCTGAGAGTGCTCGAACAATTTTTATTTTTTTTATTTAAAAACAGTATTGCTGTTAAACCCACCTTAAACTAACATTGTGCCACATTTGGTCGCAATGTGGGCAAAATGAAAAATACACTTCAGGTTAGACTATAGAACAAAACTGTGTGCAAGGAAAATGCATAGAAATTTTTTGAGGATAAGAGAAAGCAATAAATTAGATTATTTTATCAGATCTGACTACGAGAGACCAGAAAGTATTTTTGTGTGCAAGGGTCTTGTGACCTCACTCCCAAAATCTATGATGCTTCATCTCAACTTTCATAAGGTAGTATTGATATAAAATAAAAAAAATTTTAGTGACCTAATTATGTACAGGGTGGTCCGAAAGTTGAGTCACCCCTAAATAATATAATTTTCTATTTCAGATGGCTGACAATTCCTACATATATACATTTTCAACAAGAAAAATTGAAAATAAATACAAATGTATCTAAACAAAAATTAGAGGCCTGCCATAATAAAACAACAATATTTTGCGGCAGTTTCTAACACCAAGTTGAGATTTTTCTTGCTAAAACATTGAATTGACACATTCAACATTATGGAAAAATAGTGAATTTTATATAGTGTTTTTCCGAGACTTAGCATGAGCAAAATAAATTCACAGATTTGGACAAAAAAAAAAAAAAAAAAAAATACACAGAATAATTTTTTTTTTTTGACCTTTTAATAGTCAATTGTGCTTAGTTTAATTTGTAATGTATATAAATGTAAGTAGAAAAAAGAAAAAGTTGATAAGATAGTGATAATTTTGTATTCAGTGTGAGACAGATGTGTCAAGAGGCAAGGTGCATCAGCAGCTTGACCTGAAAGATGACCTCCTAGCCACTAGGTGCAGATCAGTTCTTTAATAGATGTCAGTAGCTGCTGCCATTTCAACTGTAAGATGATGAGACCTAGCAGCCAATCGAGCACTGCACTTAAATTCATAAATTCTATATACCAAAGAGGAAAGATCATCATAACAATTGCCATGAAAATATTTATAGAAAAAGCAGAGGGAAGCTACGTTATGGCAGTGGGAAAGAGACTGAAGCTGAGATACCATGTCAGGACCAATAACATTGCAGATTCTTTGGTTTGGTTTGTTTTACAGCATATCAACCTCAATAGGTTATTTAATGTCAATAGGACTTTTATTGCTGGTAATATCCCCCCCTTGGCCCACCAAAAGAATGTATTGATGTTAATATTTTTTTCAAAAATGTAATGCTGGTAATAATTTTTCCTTCAAAAATTTATTGTCGGTAATTTTTTTTTTTTTTTTTACAAAAACATTGCTCATATTAGAACCTATTTTTACACTTTGTGTTTTGACCCCGGTTTGGGGGTTAACTATTTGCTCATAGCTGGAATCCAGCAATTAAGAGGTGGTTCCACACCCCTTAAAGCCTCCTGATCAGAAGCCTTGCTGCTGGATGCAGTTTATCGTCTTGCCCAGGATACAGTTTCTTTGGATTTTATCAAGAATCTCTAAATAAATAGCAGGAGCATCAAATCAGATGTGGCAGCAATATTCACTGCATGGATGAATGGGGGACTTATAAATGTGCAAGATGGATTATATTGAGAAAAATAGTCTAGTATGACATGAGTGAACTAGCTTTCCTAGCAGCAGACCTAGAAATTGATTCAATATCATCTTTTCACTTTGTCAGCAGAAAACATTAGCCTGAGAAGGTGCAAGGAGCCTTTCTCCTGGCGGTTAGCATCAACCAGAATGATGGGATGCAAAAAAAGGTTCTCTAAGATAATTAAAAAAGAGCAATTTCAATTTGGAGGCATTAAAATTAACAAGCCATATCTTGCCCCAGTTAAAAACCGATTGTCAGTCATCAAGTGCCAATTTGACCTTATCAAACTGATCAGACTTAGTATTGAAACAGGAGCAAATAGCAGTGCCATTGAAAATTAATAACAACATTTTATATTGCTAATAATTTGCAGATTAAAAGAAACAAAAATAAAATAAGAAGGTTTATTACCGCACTTCGTGCCATGTGAACAGGAGCTCGTCTTAGTGGAGTTGAAGAATCTGAAAATATTCAATAAAACAATTGAGAAGTTTAAAAACTTTGTGATATTTTGTACATGAGATGTGTTCATTTTTCTTTTTGCTTAAATGCTAAATTTCACCTAATATAAGACTTGAGAGACACTCAAGGTAGAAGGCTACAGTCAAAATGGTAAGGATGAAATACAGAGTATTTTAAACTTTAGATATCGAAAATTAGTGGAGGTACCTACCTAACGTGATTAAAGAGTCTGTAATGGAGTTTATAAGTTGGGAATTCATGTATTATTTTCCCTGTTGTTATTATTTTTTTGACTGTAATGGGGTTGATATTAATGACGGAAATTAAATGCATAAATGTACATCGATAACAACAACAAAAACTTGAGACACATGTTGAGATAAATGACAAGAATTTTTCTTCTCGTGATGTGAATTACAAAATATTGGTATGGGGTGCGTAAAATTTGTTCTCCATGTATCTTTTGTTTAAGTCCGTGATTGGTTTGGTTGTGAGAATTTTGTTTGTGAGGATGGCGTTTGAAATTGTCTGTTTTTGATCTTCCTGAAGCGCTGACAGACGTGTTTCTGTACTTCTACTTGTCTACTCACCCCTCCATGTGGTGGAAAGGTTATTTTTATAATCACGAGGGTTAGGATGATGACATATCCTTCTTTAACATCATCATTGATGACAAAGTTATTTTTAGAATGACGATAAGTCTGATTCATTTGCACACATACATGTGTATACTATCGATAAGTGTATACTTATTAACATGCAATGTATATATTAATAACATAACACCTGGCTGCTCATTTAAACTCGTCTGTTGCAGATGCCTGCTCAGCTATATTTATTTCCTAAAATAAATAAATAAATTATATATATATATATATATATATATATATATATATATATCTCTTGACTCTCCCGTCAAATTCGACGTATGAGGGTCAAGCAGATCAGTTCCTAGGAAACCGACAACAGCACATGAGATTTGATTATAGTGGTGAAGGTTTCGTGCTGGACCATCCACACTTTTTGAAGGGCCAAATACAGAGAATCCAAGAATTTAATTTCTCCTTTTCTGATTGATTCCTTTATGGTAATGACATTGATATCTATAATGACTGGCCACTTGTATCTGAGGATGCCAGTCTACTTGGGTGGCTAGCTAATCCCTGTTGCAGATGCTTGCTCAGGCATATTTGTGTTTGTTCAATACTTCCAGAGCCTAGCTGTGGTGTATACTGCAACTATGCTGAGCAGATCTCAGTTAAAGTCTCTATGAGAGAGTGCATAATATAGCATGATTAACAGTTTGAACAAGGCTAGTATGCTCAAGTCCTCAGTCACGATGACTTGTGACTTGTGCTAGCATAACTATATATGACTCACCTCAGTTGATATCAAAATAATTTTGTATTCAGTGTTAGACAGATGCGTCAAGAGGCAAGGTGCATCAGCAGCTTGAACCTGAAAGATGACCTCCTAGTCACTAGGTGCAGATCAGTTCCTTAATAGATGTCAGTAGCTGCTGCTAATGTGTAAATGCATGGTTGACAGGGGGGGGGATATATAAACACTCACCCAAGAGGGAAGAAAAATAATGTAGAATTTGTGTTTGAAAAAAATCTTAGCCATACACTTACTCCTTATTGTAAAATGCAGATTGTGTATGTGTGCCTGTACGTTTATATATTGGATCAGATTTCCTACATTTTTCAACCGATTTCAACAAAACTTCACAAGGCTACGTAAAATTACCTTGCGGTGGTTCTGACAGCACCAAAAATTGGAAAAACAATTGTTTTTGCACGAAATGAATTTGAAAACACGATTAAGAGGCATCACTCACCAGAATGAAAGGGGGACAACTCATATCGAGTTATACTTATAAAACCCAGGTTCTTTGTGTTAGTTTATATATGGGATCGGATTTCCTACATTTTTTAACTGATTTCAACAAAATTTCACTTTTTTTTGGCAGTAGTGTTTCTTACTGTCTTGCACACTTTTTTCTTTATTTTTACATTCAGAATCCTTTAAAAATTCCATTTACAAGACAATTGTTTATAATAAAATCCTATTCAATCAGTAGATTCATAACGATTGAAAAAAATGTTTTTGTTTGAGTTTGACCAATTCGTAAAAAAAAAAAAAAAAAAAAAAACTAATTAAGACATGCGTGTCCGTCAACCTTAAACAATAATCTTTGTCAATTTTATTTTTCAGTCTTTATGATGGTTGATACTTGATCTATCTCTTACTGTTACATCCTCGGGCAACGCCAGGCTCTTCTGCTAGTAGGCAATAACATTATGTATGAGAGATTCAGTTTAATGTTTTTGTCAGTTTGTACAACAATAACATTATGTTATGTGTCATGTATGGCAGCACAAGAACAAAAAAAAAAAAAAAAAGAACAAGGTACCTGCTGGTGAGGTGGAAGGAAAAGAAGACAAGAGATGCTAAGATACTAAAATTCTTTGTATTGCTGATATAAAGGATCAAAACGGAATGTCTCTTTACAGGCAAGGGAAGCGACCTGAATGATGGGGAGAGTAGGTAGGGCTTGGTGTTGAAGCTTGTATTGGGTTGATTAAGGCCACTGGTGGTGTCTGACAGTCTGCCTATGACTGCCTCGAATGGGTCCTTTTAAGCAGTTAGGATTGATACATGACTCGGTGTTTTTTTTTTTTTGTCATGCTTTTGCTTTAGCAGCAATGTTCATGATTGGCTCCTTTTAAATTGTATTTTATATTAGGAGAGGGGATTTGTGAGCCAGATGTGATGCTCGAATCCTCTGCAGAAAGAGCAACATTTTTTTTTTAATTTTTGTTTTTGTAGCATTTACATCCGGCCAATTCAACGCTCAATTCATACAGTGTACACACACCCGATTCTCCCTCTAGAACTGAGGATCTATTGAGCGAGTTGCACATAATCCGATCGATGGTATTGGGTATCATCTCTAAATTAGACTCCCATAAAGCTAGCAGTGGGGACGGGAAACCAGCCGTTGTCCTGAAGAAATGTGCACCTGAACTAGCTACTGTCCTCTCCAAACTAATATAACTACTGCCTCACCAACTCTTGCTTTTCAGTCTGTTGGCAGTTCTCATCTGTTGTACCTGTCTTTAAGAACTCTGGTGACCCTACTGTCCTATCAGTCTCCTACCACTTTTTTTTGAAGCTTTAATCAACACTGAAGTGGTTAAGCACCTTACATCCCATGATCTGCTCCCTGACAAGCAATATGGTTTCCGTTTTACTCAATCTTCTGCTGATGGCCATAACTGAATTTGTTTATCAAGCTCTTCACAATAACGCATCTCATAGGGTTTGGCATACCAGCCTTCTTCATAAACTTCAGGGATACGGAATTTCAGGATGATTATTTGACTTAATAGAATCATTCTGTCGAACTGTATAATGAAGGTCATCCTCAACGGATTCTCCTCCAGTTCCTTTCTCATGAAGTGTTGCCCAAGACTATCCTGGGCCCTACACTGATTCTGATATTCATTATCAATCTCCCCAATATCACCAGTTCCCAAGTAGGCATCTATACAGATGAGACTACTATTTACTCCTGCCAAAATAGCAAATTCGGTACCGCTGACAAAACTAACCTGGCCATTGGTCTCAAAAAGGACCTACAATCTGTGGTTGACTGGATCAGGAAATGGCTGATAATCTTTAATGCCTCAAAAACAAAACTGCTTTCTTTTACCCACCACAGAGAACCCTCCATGCCTCCTATTGAAATGTCTGAAGCTCAACTCCATGAGAGCACCTCTTTGCGACTGCTTCGTCTCACATTATCTGCTGACCTGAGATGGAACAAATACATTGAATGAATAGCTTCATCCACCACAAGGAAAGTTGGTTCTCTGTGTTGTGCAGAAGGTTTTTCTCACCAGAGTTCATCCTCCAAATCTATAAATCAACCATTCAACCTTGCATGGAATACTGCTGCCATATATGGTCTGGAGCCTCCGCTGTTCATCGACAAAATCCAGAGACGGATATAAAATGTGATTGGCCCTGATCTGGCATCTCATTTACAGCCACTCTCTCACAGACGTGCCGTCGCTTCCTTCTGTCTTTTCTACAAATACTTTCACTGTAACTGCTACGATGAGCTACTTTCGCTAGTTCCCAAACTGCATGAATTTAAACGTGTTACTTGGTTGGCATCCCAGTTCCAACCTTTCACTGTTGAAACGGTTAAATATAGCCATCTCTTCTACTCCAATAACTTCATGTCTCACACTTCCTGTCTGTGAAACTCCCTTCCTCTTGCTACCCTGATAGCTATAATCTCCAAATATTCAAATGCAATGCCAATCGACATCTCCAGATACCTTAATCTATTCTCCGTCCTGATCTTCAACCTTTCCTCTAACACGACTCTTTACTCTTGCTCCCACTCTTTGTAACACCTTGCGTGCTAGTGGCACTCCCACCTTGCTTGGGGTGAAATGCTTGGGGAAAGAAAAAAAAAGAAGGTATTGTTGTAGAGAGACCTAATTTGAAGCAAGGTATAACAATTACAAGGATTTCCCAGAAGTGCCTCCCAATCTTAGACCAGTGATTCTCAACTGTTGCGAAATATTGTCACCACAGACGTGTGTGTGCGTGTGTGTAAGTAGTAATGGTACAGCGTTAGTATTTGAATAAATGATCCCTATTATAGTTACTCATCTGAAAGCTCTTGACGAAAACATTGACTATTATTTTCTGTCATTGGACACAGAAAAGTATGATTAGATTCAAAATCCCTTCATAAATCTTCCTTCATAAATTGGACTGCAGTTATGTGAAGATAAAGAATTGGCCATCATTTCTAGTGATCAAAGGCTCAAAATAAAACATCTGATGGTACCATTGATACATTTTGGATTTCAATACAAAGGAATATCCCACATGAGCCTAAAAAGGCTTTATCAGTTTTATTGCAATTTTCTACTTCTTATTTATGTGAATTAGGCTTCTCAACTCTAAATAACATCAAAAATAAGAAATAAGAAAGACTTTGTTCAACTGAAGAAATGAGGGTCTGCTTATTGCATATTCAACCAAACAATGCAGAAATTGTGAAAAAAACACTAGGCACAAGTTTCCCACTAAATAAGCTGCACAAATAGTTGAATAGAAACATTGAAAGAAAGTAAGTTCATATTTGGGTGCGTATTTTTTTAAATGTATACCCTTTAAAAATTTTGCTAAGTGTACCGTGATATTTTCATTTGCTCCTAGGTCTGCTATTGCTTATTGAGAAGTCAAGTCTTTGACAAATTGGCCATAGCTGGATTGAAAAAATTTGGATTGTATGGTTGGAATGCTAACATTTTAGCCTCTTGCCTGCGGACCCCTTACAGAGTTCCTTTCACCTTATAACGAGAATCCTAATAGATACATTAAAAACTTACATATTTGATTCGATCTGCTGGTGGAAGGAGAACTGAGTCGGTTGGCTTCATTCTCTGCGGCTTCCTCGTCTAATTCGCAGAGTTCCTGTCGCAGGGACATCCAGCTGCTGTGGCTACTGATTGTAGATACTGAATCAGCATCATTCAAGGTATATGTTGCATCACTACTCTCATTGACATAACTGGTGTGAGAAGATACCGAACTGTCACTTTCATAACCTGTGCCTGAAAGACAAGGAGAGAATTCAATTAATGGCAATTAATACATTGGCTGCCAGAAGCCAGTTATGAAAATATGACACCAGCCAGTTTGGATATTGGACACTTGCTTTCCAAATGTTTTGTTTATGTGTTATACATACATCCTTGCACAAATTAATTGAAACAAAACAAACAATTCTGTTATTATTTACTCTTTCTTCATATTTTTCCAATGAAACATGAGCTAGTGCACATGTTAGTACTTTGTATGTCCATTCCACGAAGTTGTTCCTTGCAGATTAACTACAGATTCTTGATTGGATTTAAAACAGTAGCGTTTTAAGGCCAGTCTACAGTACTTTGATTTGCTCACTGGTAAGGCTTGCCAGTGTGTTCGTGCAGCATTAAAATTTTTGTATGCTTTCTTGGAGTAATGCCCATTGCAGACATGCTGAGAATACCATGGACCGAACATGTGAGCAGTGACAAAGTTTTATAAAAAATGGAAACAACAACAACAAAGAAAAAAAAAAAAAAGAAAAAAGAAAAAAAAAGACACTAATTAATATGATGAAAAAAAAGAATTTACAATAAGCTCTAAAGGATAGGAAATTGTGGAGAGCTATGATCACCAACATCCTGAAGAGAGATGGCACATAGAAGAACAAGCTTGTATAAATGGTGCCTGGTGAAGCCTAGTCACTTTGAACAAGAAATTTGCTATCTGCTCTAGACAATTCTCAAATAATAAAAGAAAAGGAAGCTGTGGAGAATCATGATCACCAACATTTTGAAAGGACAGACAACAAAGCATTATTAGTTGATATTTGATTTGAACTGCAAGTTGAAGGATATTACATTACAATTATTGCATTGTCTGATATGTCTTTTGTTCATCAACTTTTCCCAAGGACGGATAAAAATCTATTTGCATATTTTACTGCTTATTTCTTATAAGAATTTTTTGCAACCTGCTGACATGTGTTGAAATTCTCACAGTATTTAGTATTGTTGAAGTTATCGCTAACATTTTTTATCGAGATTTACAAACAGTACGTTTCATTCAATTTCACAAACCAATCGATAAAATTTGAATAAGCTGATTTGTTTGGAAAAATACTTTGACAAAAAGTCTACTTTGCAGTTTAATAATTTCACTAATTTGATTTAATTTTATAGGACTTCATGGTAAACAATTTTTTTTTTCTCCTTTTTAACAGTGTACAAGACATTCTTAGGATTTCTTACTCTTGAGCATGCAACATACAACTGGCCATGCAGAAATAGCTTTCTGGAACTAAATTCCATGTTTGTGATTTGCTTATAGTTCTCGCAAACTCAAAGTGAACTGGAAACTGAATTCTTGTGTATAAAAACTTAAAGAAAAGATATACAAAAAACAATATTGCATTTTTATTAAATAAGTATTTGTTATTTTAATCATTGTTTTTAAAATAGTGCAAGTATTCTGTATACTAAATAATAAAACTTCTTAATTTCCCCCCCAAAAGTTAATGAAAATTTATTGTACTAAGTGCTACACCCGGGTAAAAAAAAATGTACTTTGTACACTCTTGTTTTTACTTCACCCCAAAATTTGGTTTCTATTGGTAAATGTATAGCTATTTTAAAGGGTGTGATGGACAGACTAACAAAGGTCACAGAATTTTATATATAGAATAATCTGTTTTCTATTTTATTTTCAGGTTTTTTTTTCCATTAAAAGTAACATTTATAGCCTCCAGAAAATGATAACAATTAAACAATATTAGTGGCTCGTATTACACAAGTTCAGATTAGACCACAATGTCACAAACGTCCAATGAAACATCAGCTTAATATTTGACAATAGTATTGTTAACATCAGAAGCATACAGAGACAATTTCCGAAATTTCATTCAGGTGATGAGAAGTCTGAAAATGAACCAAGAGAAAAGTCTATTTAATGATACAAGTCTTACTAATTAACCCATAGCTAGGGGAAAAAGAGGTGGAGTCATACCTGTCTCAAGGGTAGTTGTGCAGAAGTGAATATAACAAACCCGACGGGAATTGGAATTCAGCTCTCCAATTAACAATTCTAAACCATTATCCACTGCACTACCCTTGCATCCAAGCTTACGGCACCTGGTATTCTGAAGCAGTCACCCACCTAGTTACTGACCAGGCTTGATGTTGCTTAACTTCAGTAATTGTACAGGAGAAACAAGCAACTGAATTCATCAGTTAGACAAAGTCAGGAAACTTTCAAGAGAATTTGGAACATCATGCACATAAAAAAAAACAAAAAACAAACAGCCTAGACAAGTGACTAGAAACAGCCCAATTTGACTCAGTGACAACATATGCCCTCACCGTTCATGCCTCATTGTTCAATAGCTGCATCGACTTGGTCTTCTACATTATTCACAAGAATCTTTTCAATAGATTGTCAATTAATTTATACTCTTTTGGACTTCCATCCACAATAAAAGTGAAGAAGTAGTCAAGGCATTTGTACAACAAGGCAAAAGACAGCTCGGGAAGAAAACTATAGAACAAAATCTATTATTTTGATTAAATCATCTGAGAGACATCTTCCTGCCTTCCATCAGCATGGCTGATGCTAGCCTCCAGGAGAGTGACTTGTAGTTCCTTTTTGAGTTAACATTCTCAGTTGACATGAAGTTGACAGACTATATTGAATCTATAGCTAAGCTGGCTGCTAAGAAAGTTGTTTCACTGTGTTGTGTGAGACAATTTTTCCTATCTTGCATATCTATGTCTACCATTCACCCATACTTAAAATATAGCAGCCATGTATGGTCCAATGCTTCTGCTATATACTTAGAGCTCCTTGATGAAAACTAAAGAAGAATCAGCAATATTATTGGTCCTGACCTGGCGTCTCAGCTTCAGTCATTTTCCCATTACCATAAAGTTGCTTCCCTGTCCCTTTTCTACATATAATTGGCGGCAAGTTCTCATCAATTTACAGTTGAATTGCCTAGATGTAAGTGTAAATTCTATGCTAACAGTTTCATTTCTCGCACTTTTCACTTGTGGAACTTTCTTCCAGCTCCATGCTTTCCAGCCAACTTTGATCTTTAAAAAATTAAATGTATTGTCAATGGTTATATATCTTCTTGATTACTCTTCTATTCTTCTTGCTCTGTAGTAATGTTTCTGTTTTCTAATTTTTCTACACCCCCTCTGTCTTAGTAACTTTATTGTCATGCTTGGAATAAATTCAGTAAAAAAAAAAAGTATATGACATTTTATATAGAACGGTATTTAGTCCCCCCCCCCTCATTTTATATAGAACACCCTAATACTTAAGTTTGTTAAATTGGAAAACCATTGCAATGAGTGTTTCAATAAAAGGGAATGGATGTAGCATCAAATACATGGACATGACTTACTTGAATTGCCGTTCTGTATGTCAGGCTCTTTTTGTTGTGACTGCTCAGGGCTTAAATGGTCTACAGCAGAGACTCGCCTTCGATATCCTAAAAGATCAAAAACAAAAATATTTTATTATTATTAAACTTTGATTCACATTTGTTAGATCTTAATTTCAGGTGCTTTTTTTATGACAACACCCAGAGGTTTATTGCCTGACCAAGAATTGAACTTGCAGACCCTATGTTTGGGAGTGTATTGGTAGCTGATGTAACTATAGAAGCTAACTAGCAGCAGTCATTCAAACCTTACCTGAAAACCTGATACACTGTCTGTTTATTTACAAATTAAATATTATTTTAAACAAATAGTGTAAATAATGATCATATATATATATATATATATATATATATATATATATATATATATATATATAATGAGAAACCACATATACTTTCTTAATATGTATATATAGAAAAAGTTTCAAATTAAAAAATAATAATGTTTTATTTTATGAAAGTATTTATTTATTTATATATATATTTGATATTTCAAATTGTCCTCAATTTTTCATCAGAAATAACTGTTTGTTACAAATAAATTAAAATTACTGTTTGTTAGCAAGTAGCGCCTTCGCGAGACGCAGACGTCACGTTATATGGAACGTCACTGTTCGGATATTCCTAACTTAAATCTAACTGTCATAAATATTTTAAATGCCGTTTAAAAAATTTTTTTACTATATCTAAAAAAATTGCTTATCTATTGAAATATTTATAAAGATTTAAAACACCTAAGTCCCTATTCAACCCTAGTTTATGTGTATTTAATTTTAAAATCCAATATGTTTCTTTTTTTTCTGTGTGTGAATGTGGAAGTAAAATCGGAATCTATCAATAAACATTTGCAGTTTTCTAATGTGTGTCCTGATTGATTGTAGTGTTTAGCTATGGGGGAATAAGGGTTGTTTTAACGTATTGTTTGTTTATGGTTATTGAAACGAAATCTAAAATTATTTCCAGACTCACCAATATATCCACTATTAGGACATAAGTTGCAGAATAAATAATAGATTACGTTATGGCTATCGCAGGTGAGTTTAGGTGTCTGTATCCTGATATTGGTGTTGGGTACAGAAAATATATTAGCTATTATTAAATGTTTGAAAACTAAGCAACGAGGTTTGTTACATTTGTAATTTCCTGATTGTATTTACTCTGTCGCCACACTAGGACGAGATGTGACACAAGGTCTATGTTTTGGTGAGGATCCAAGCGCATACACCCAGGACAGGAACAAAAATTCCCCTCAGCCACTGCAACCTTCAGTTGTGCTGGCCTTGGTGCGAATGGGAGGGCGTGGCTCGGGTAGCTGTTCCCCACGGCTGGGCACCGCTTTAGTATAATTTTCTCAGTTGTCCCTCTGTCCTTTGACAGAGAAGTCCTCGAGTGCATTCTGTCCAAGGACAGAGACGCAACTGAAAGATAAGTAGATGTGTACCTACTCAAAAATTGAGAAAAAACATGACTTGTATTTTCCCTTTATGGAAAATGACCTAGCCTGGGACACAGTAGATGAATCTGGCTCATCTGAATCTGGAGTTCTAAACATGGCTTCTCCAGAAACAGAGAAGAATTTCCATATTACGTTTCCTTTTTGTTTCTCCTTACACTCTGCTTGCTGTGTAGATACATGATATATTGTTCTCTACATGCGATACACGTGTGTGTGTGTGTATATATATATATATATATATATATGTTTTGTTTATTTCTTAATGGTATGAAAATCTCTGAGAAGAAAGGATGTTTGTCATTCCTTTTCCTTTCAGCGATTCCGCTACATCTCTGAAAGATGGTGTTATTCTATCACAAATATAATAATGACCATAATGGGGGAAATACAAATGAGAGAATAAACCTTTCTATGAAAGCTCCCTCCCATTATAGTGATAATCACAACACAATCTTATTTACCAGATATATGGTATTATTATCATCCATTAACTGGTGAAATTCTTCTGTGTTTCTGGAGAAGCCATGTTTAAGGACTCCAGATTCAGATCAGCCAGATTCATCTACTACCCAGGCTAGGTCATTTTCCACGAAGGGGAAACACAAGTCTTCGGTTTTCCCAATTTGAGGACTGAGCCTGATGTTTTTTCTATATCTGGGGGAAGATATATTACAAAGGCATCGCCTTGATATAATGTTAATTCAAAGCATTGTTGTTAATTGCTGACTAGTTTTGTAGTCTTATTGCCTGTTAGTTTATAGCTGTTGTTATTGATTTGACAAGAAAAGGCATGTTTGCATCTCTGGTAGGGTAGATCTTAGCAGTTACACTTTGCCTGTTGACTCCTTTTCTGAATGACAAAATTATATTAAAAAAGAAAATAATGTATTATTTAAAAAAAAAAAAAAAAAATTTTAGCAGTCAAGTGTCTGCCATTTACTTGAACAAAAACTGTTCTTCCCAAAATCAGAACAATTGATGACTTACTTGCATTGAAGAGAAAATCTTGAATTTGCTTTAACAGGACATTATTTTCCGCATTAATGTCACTGTAGTGCCAACTTGCGAAAATCAAAATAACCAGTCCAATCAGGCAATGAAACTTACGACACCACCACTGTAATTCATAAAGTTCAGCCTAAAAGAAAAAAAATAAATTTAAATGACAAATTGGACAAGGAAAAATTCCAAGTTTTACTGTTTAAATACAATCATAACACCTGCATGTCTGCTAACAAATTCAGTCATTAATGGTATTGGCCTACAAGAGTTTCCAGGATTACCAATCTTTATTTAAATTAATTTAAAATGGATATATATTAAATAGGAAATACAAACATAACAATTAATATATACAGAGTGATTGAAAAGTAAATCCCTGTGGCCAGCCAGGAGTCCTGGTCACCCAGTGACTTTTTTTCTCTGGGGTTGATTAAAGAAGCTAGTCTACTACACTAAACCACGACTTTGGAAGAACTTGAATTTATGTCATCCATACCACAAGAGTGAAATCAATTCTTGGGAAGTTCAAGAAGTTGGTAGCAAAATCTGGTGCTCATATTGAATATTAAATAAAACAACATGTTAAACGCATTCCTCTTATATCCATTTCTTGTATAAATTACAGTTAATAAATAAATTATAAGTATTTAAAAATGCGGAGTTACTTTTCAATCCCCTTGTATATTTAACAATTATTTTCTATTTATATATATTTCCCCACATATCCCCATAAACTGTACTGCTGTTATTTTGTAACCCTCTACCTAGAGTGGCTCTTGTGCCTTGTACAGGGTGATCAACATTAAAAAAAAAAAATTGAAAAGGAAATTTTATAAGAGAAATTTATGGAAATGTACAACCATTTCTAGTTGATCTTCAATGTTTTGGAATCTTAAAAATATAAGTTGCATTTTTTTTTTTTAAATCCTCTGAAGAAGTAGAGGTAATGAAAATTTTATTTTATTTTATTTTATTTCAAGCAGCGTAAAATTAGGCCCTGAATCAGAAAAAAATATTGTTTTCTTTGGTGGGGCGGATTAGAATGCTTTTAATTACTTTTTTTAAATAAAATATTCTGTAACCTTCTTGGAGTTGTGAAAAAAAAAAAAAAAATTTAAAGATTTATTTTTTAATATTTTTCAATTTAAAATAAATTCTATTGTCCTGAACAATTCTGAATTGTTCTCGAATAATTATATTTTAATTTTAATAATTAATAAATTTTATTTATACAAGGTTTGATAAGGAAATTTCGAGATGTACGTATTGCCACTATTTAAAAAAAATATGGACAAATTTGAAAAATTTAAACACTTTATTTTGTATGCGTGAAAAGTGTGTGTGTGTGGGGGGTATTCTAGATTTTTAAAATAGTTTTTTCTTTTACTTACGTCATTATGTGCTCCAAGGATGGGGTCAGCCACTTCAGTCGTTTTATAGTAAATAATTACTTTCTCGACAAGCCAATTGATGGACATTAATCCAAATAATGGTAGACGAGCACTGGCAGTTCTTGGCACAGAGGTAAAGAGGAACCAGACTAACATGGACATAGAATAAAATACAATAGAATAGAGACTAGATATCTCCCCTAAGAACATGCTCTGTAATTTTGCGATACGTTCAAAGACATCATTAATCGAATTCCTCTGTTCTTGGGACATGATGCGGAACTCCGTCAGTGTTTCTTTTATATTCGAAGACGAAGAGGAAATAACCTGGCTAAGATTAATCGCTTGAGCCAAAATTAATTCCTGGTTTCTCAACGTGAGGTTTTGTCTCGTCAACATGTCTGTCTGTAATCGACTGGAGAACTCCAGCTGTGACACAACTTCTTCAGAGGTTTCCGAAAGGCTTTGAATGGTTTTCTGCGTATGTTGGTTCCAGTATTTGATTTCCAAAAAATAGCAAATATTCTGGGTGTGAACGAAAAACGTGGCCAGACTGGCCCTATCGCCTTCGGTCATGTTTTTTGTGCAGGCCGGGATGGAGACATTCGTTGGGCACGGATAGTGATGACGCTGTTGGGCCTCCAAGAAACAATTTAGATAAGACAATGACAAACGACTTTGTACCAAATCAGTGAGATTCTTACAACCGATATGAATAGAAGTAAGAGTGTTTAACCAACACTGACCATAAGCCGGTAACTCAGCCCGTTGTTTTACTAGTTCATACTGATTCTTACCTTCCTGGTAACGATGAGAATCGATTTCATGTTCGGTTATAATTTCACTCGATGTAATATGAAAAAATATTAAAATGAAACTGTAATAGTAAATATGACGAAACATCATCGATTTTTTGTGGATTTAAAATTTAAAAAAAAAGAAGTTATTTTAAGCGGAAAGAAAAATCTATCTTCAAAACGAATCAGTTTTCGTTACATATTCAAGTACAAAATTAGCGCCATTTTTTTCGGTTTTAAAATAACTGTCAAAAATGTTTTTTTAAAATGATTAGTGCTTTAAATTTAAAAGTAACTACAAACTTTTTTTTTTTTTTTTTCGAAGAATAAATATCTCACATAATTCCTGGTGATGGCTAAGAGGACAAAACTTGTATAAGAAATAAAAATTTGTCTTAATTCGTTTTTGTAAACAAACACGAGATGAACAAAAAATTAGGTGGCGAAACGCTTGGTAATAAAAACGCGCGAGAATTGTTTTTTTTTTTATCCCGGATATTTTTTTGTCACTGAATCTTGAAATCCTTTCAAAACAATTCCGAGATGGTTACAAAAGCAGTGAAAATTATGATTATCCTGGGGTTAATTGGTGAAAGATTTCTTCCCGATATAAAGAAACATACCGGTACCAAAACTAATTAAAAAAAAAAAGCATGTGCTGAGCAAACCAAGGGGAAGTACTCTAACCAGTTCAGGAGCAAACAAGAAAGTTTTCTTTTAAAAATGTATGTATATTATATTTTTTTACGCTGAAGTTAAAAAAAATAATTTTAATTAAAAAGTATTTAATGACGGATATGTTTTAAAGTAAATATTTTAAAGTAAATCCTTTTAAATTTACTAGATTTATAAAATATTAAAAATTAAAATCGATCACATTTCCGGATGTTGCATCAATTCTTTTTTTAAGAAACAAACATGCTATTTACATTGCAATGGGCAGATAACTTCAAATCTTTAGTAATAATGTGGATTTAGAAATAAAAATGTTGGTACCGCCACAAATTCGGTATACGTAAGGTTTAAAATGAATTTTTAAAAATGAAAAAGCTTTATTGAAGCTTTCATTTTAAATGTAATTGAAATCTAAAGGATTTAAAATTATCCATTTATTTCCAGTAAGCAAAATATTCTGTGGTGTATTTCAAATAGAAATTCTATTGATCGAGATCGATTTTTTTTCAGTAAAAATTAAAATCAATCAAAACGGCCATTTTTGAGACATTTGTAAACAAAAGTTAATTTTCGATTTTAAAAATCCTTCAAAAATAAAATATGTATTTTTTGAAACGTTATTTGAGGAAAAGTAGCATTTTTAAAGTTAAATTAATCTGATTTGAAACAAATGTTACTTATAGCATAAAAATATTACTTACCTTATAGCATAAAATACAAACATTTCTTAATCACGGAATTTTTTTTCTGACGTGTTTATTGACAGCCGATTGACCACCGAATCTGTTCATAGTTAGGTATGTTGGAGCAGACGATAATGTTTATAAGAGGTGCGAGGATAACCTTTAAAACACGTAACTTTTTAATGATAGATTTATCATCCATACTTCAGAAATTCTGCACGTATATACGCATACAAAAATGAATCGAATTTTTTTTAAATATTCGGGGTCGTCGGATAAGCTTTAAAATGTTTGATTAGTAAATATAGTTTTAATAACAATATTTTCTAAGAATTATCACATTGAAAATGAATTTTAAAAGATTTTAAAACTTTATAAATTATTCAATTTAAAATTGTAAAAAATGAAAACAAATCTTGTAAAAATTCAATTTTCATCCAATTTTTTTTTGTTTTACTTCAGACAATATTGTTTTAATATATATTATTCTTAAAAACAATAACAAGTATATCTAATTAAATAATGTCACAGTTTTATTACGTTTTTTATTTTTCGATTCAGAACAGGTTTCCGGTAAGACGGGCCCCAATTGTGCAAAAAAGATCGATGATTTAAATTCTTCAAAGAATTCTACTTTTAACTAATATAGTTAATAAAAATTATCACGTTGGATTTCACAAGTTTTCATAAAATTTACTAAGTGGAAGGAACACATATAAAAAATATTTTTACCAAGATTTCTAATAAAGAAAAATTCAAAAATAATTTAATTCATTTGTGAATAAGTTCTTTAGTAACTCTCATTTCAATTTCAAACATTTTCTTGAATTTCATTGGGTGTTGAATAAAAATAAGCTTCGAGAAATTTCCATAACAAAACAGTCAAAATTTGTGCAAAAATAGGCTCAACTGTCGTAAAAAAATCTTTCTCAAATTCATCTCTAATTTAAATGTTTCAAGAAATCCTATTGGCTAAAAAATAAAAATAAAAAAAAAACAACATTCGCCCACGCATTTCTCAGATAAATTCGCAACAGCTACCAAGCCCCGTTGGAGCCGATTTCGTTGTTAACAAAACTATAAATAGAAATAGTAAACGAATTTTCGTCGCGTTTGTTACACATACACGTGAAAGATACACACGAGAATTATGTGCCGCCAAAGAAACAAACTTCCTTTATGAGAGATTAGAAAAATTTACACAACAAACTTTTTCAGTCAATATCTTTAATAGAAAAATCTTTTGTCTAAGTTAAATTCAATCTTTTTAATCAAAGGCAGACAACTTTTTAGACATTTAAACATTTCCGGAACAGCAAAGAACTTTTTCTGTAACATATACCTTTGCACACATCATTAAAAACAAAGAAATTGTAAATTGTGTATATAAAATTTAATCTGTTGTTTCAAACATGTATTTTTTGTTGTGATTGAATATCGTTACCATTTGGTCATTTCTTATAATTTCCGTTTGTGGATATTGCATATTTTATTTGCAGCACAATCTTAAATTTTAGCCAGGTTTAGCTCCTCCTCCACACACATTTCTAACAGCAAAGCCGTAAATGTGTTCTTCCTTTTCAGTTATCTATGTACACACTAGTATATCTCCCTCTTTTGTGAATCATGTAATTTATTATATAAAAATAAATAAAACTCCCTCCATGGGTTGCAATTATTTCTTCAGAAAATGTTGAATTCAGTTTCTCCAATGGTTCTCAACTTCAACCGCGTTCCGTCACAAATTTGTAGATCCGTGTAATTTCAGATGCTCGAGTTAAAATAAAATTCAGGATGCGAATGCATGAAAAAATAATATAAAAGGAAGAGGGAGTTTACATACACAGCGAGAGAGAAAGACAGAAGATATTTAAACGCACGAAGAGGTTCGTTGTACTTGGCCCTGGTTTTGGTCGGAGGAAGTGCGATAGACCCCTGGAGACAGTTTCTTTGAAGTTGCTGGTAGCTGAAAACAAAATCTCGTTGGAAACAAGTGCTGTCAACATTAATATTTAGCCCATAGCGGGAGGAAAGAAGAAATGGATTGATACTTTTGCCCAAGGGCATTTATACAAAAATAGATGCAGCAAGCGATGCTAGAATTTGAACCCGGTCCACCGGCTCCAGTTTCCCTGCTGATAACCATTATACTACCCACACATCTAATGTATATCTACAATTACCAAAACATTTCTATCGTGTGCATGGTATGTATAGCAGCTTAATGTAAACAAAAGAAAATATTTTCCTAAAGTGATGTTGGAAGTGATATCGGCGGTGTCTATTTTTAACATTAACAACACAAAATTTATAACCCTACCCTCTAAGACTATCTACAAAATTTGAAAATAAATTAGTTATCCCTAACACTAAGATCTTTACCAGTACCCCAAGTCAATCGGTGATATAATTGGGAAGAAAAATAAACCCAACGCCACTTAAGATGCCTATATTTATCAAATAAATTGCTTGCAATATTAAAACACTTACATCGGCGAGACATCTCGGAAACTTAAAGCCTGTATCAACACGCATAAAAGAGATCTACGTTGGAACAATCCTTTAAACTCACTTGTAATAGACAAGATCAAAACTTGCCATAATTTTGATTTTACAAATGCCACACTAATTAAAATAGAACATAATTTTTTACGTCGAAAATACCCCGAGGGAATCCTGGTAAATATATTACCAATTGTAAATGTAACAGAGAGAGAGGTATACGCACACACATCCACATAAACACACACACATATATATATATTTTTTTTTTATTGAAATTGGAGTGAATCTAGCTAGTGAAACTAGATCAGAGCGTTCTGTTTACTGATGAGGAAATCTGATCCCGCCTTTGAAATTGGGTCGTTGAAAATACAATGAAAAAAATGATCTAAATAAAATTTATCGGTTAAAAATGGGAATAGAGCTTACTCAGGCTACGAGATATTTGGTGTTGTTTAACAGTATTTGTTTTGATTAAAAGGTTGAATCAATGTTTAGATATCCCAAAGTATAATTTTGGAAAGAACTCGTGATTGAGATAAGATAAATAGTTGGAGAATCGGTTTACATGTCAAGGGATAGTTTTTGGCACTCATGATAATCGCGTGCCGGGCCAAGGGTCGATTCATGATCAAACAGATTTATCTATATAAACCAGCGTAGTTATGAAGAGGAAGCTGAAGAGGAAGAAGCAGACGGTCGAGGAGTCGTCGACGGAAGTGGCCAGACAGGAGAAGGAAGACTGAACCCATCGTTTTCACGAGAGAAGTCTTTTGGAGGAGAGAGAAGACTGGGCTGTACTAGACTGGACTAATAGCCATAAACCTACCCCAGGCGATTCAATACGCGTTTATCACACACAAACCCTCTCTCTGTTGGGAATTCGCTGGATGCATTGAGTCTTTTTCTTTTCTTTTCTCATTTATGTTAAATGTTTTATTCTCCCGTAACCCCTGTTCTGATGTTATCTTCTTATATAAAAGACGTCAATATTTCCCCCATTGTTGTTTGGCTTCTGCAGATATTATTTCTGCTTTTATTTTGCCACATTCTAAACTTCCTACCGCCAACTCTCACAGCCGTGTCCACACTCCCAGTCGACCGTGAACGTATGGACAACATCCCGCTTACTGGATCTAAAAACTAACACAGTTGACCGGTCGAAATAATCTACGGGTACTCAGGGAGCGTACAACCACGTGTGGTTTTTGCAATATGCATACAACAACCAAATATGAATAATGTCTACCGCACACATACACTTACGAATATACATTATCATCCGAATCCCATATAGACAAAATATAATTATGATACACTTATATACATAAAGCAATATTTACTTTGTTTTAGTTAGGCTTGAATCCGTTAATGCTTTTGAGATTTCAAAAGACTCGTCGTCTTTTCTTGACTTCAGAACGCCATAAATATACTAACGTTGCTTAACAAGTCAAATGCACGTGCAGCTTAATTAATTAATGAAAATCAAACAGCACAAAAATAATAATGTCAAAATTTCTTTCATTTTTGCTCTCCATATATCAGTCTCTGAGGAAGTTTTAATAAAAGTGAATTGTTAGATTGGTAAAAGTTTCCTAGCATTCTATATATATAAGGACATTTTTTATGTTTATACATACAAATATTTAAGTAAATGCCCTGTTTATAATAAACAACATTTACCGGCCTGAATGCCCAAGAAATTTCCATAGAAAATATTCGTCCTCCGATAGGAATTGAACCTGTATCCCACACAAAACCGTCATGTAGCCTGACGTTTCTTAACCGACTGGGCCACAGAGTGTCGCTCGGTTAGCAAGGTCGATTTTACTGCTTTTAAACTACAATCTTCCATGATTCTCTCACGCACATTCATATCTGCTCGATGCGTATCCAAATGTAAACAAATGATGCCACACATTATGAAATGGACAAAGTCCGACAATTATTTAAAGACATTTTTATGTTTATACATTCTTTTTATAGATTCTAATATTTAAGTAAATGCTCTGTTTATAATAAACAGTATTTATTATGAAAACTTCTCGGACATTCAGGCCGGTAAATGTTGTTTCATACTGTTTATTATAAACAGAGCATTTACTTAAATATTTGTATCTATAAAAAGAATGTATAAACATAAAAATGTCTTAAAATAATTGTCGGACTATTTAATATATATATATATATATATATATATATATATATATATATATATATATATATATATATATATATTTCATTTCCGGATGTCATTTGAATGTCTAAACATAAAAGAATGTATAAACATAAAAATGTCTTAAAAATAATTGTACTTTGTCCAAACATATATATATATATATATATATATATATATATATATATATATATATATATATGTATAATTCATTTGATTTCTGTCCGGTTTGAATGTATAAACATAAAAAAGAATGTATAAACATAAAATGTCTTAAATAATTGTATATATTTCATTATATATATATATATATATATATATATATATATATATGTATATGATTCATTTGATTTCTGTCCGGTTTGAATGTATAAACATAAAAAGAATGTATAAACATAAAAATGTCTTAAAAATAATTCACGGACTTTGTCCATTTTTATATATATATATATATATATATATATATATATATATATATATATATATATATATATATATATATATATATATATTCATTTGATTTCTGTCCGGTTTGGACCGATTGTTTTGCGGACATTAAAATTACGAAAATACGGATATTATAGAAAATATATACAATGATAGAAATGGGAAAAAGTTTTAAATTATGATGTGATTGTAATCACCTTAAACTAATGTCAAAACTTAAATAAATACTACCGTTTTTCAAAGATGAAAGAATTACTTTTTCTTCTATGTACCGTTGCTGTTCATGTCTCTTTACAATTTTCTCTCCTTTGTCGTGCTCAGTAAATTTTACCTTTTTGTTATCTCTCCTAAACAATGTTCTGCCATCCATTCAACATCCAGACTCGTTAGGTATGTTATGCGTTGTTTTCGTCTGCCCCTCTTGCCTTCAATCTGTCTCGTGAGTGTCAAATTTTCCAAGCTCACTTTCCTCATTATCTGTCCTAGAAATTTCAACTGGCTCAGTTGAAATTTCCAGGGCACCTCTTGACAAATGAACGAGAAATCAGAGAAATCGAATTTCAGTCGGGTTCGTCATGTGCAAATAGCTTTGGGAATGGTATGAATCTCTCCCTTCTATGGGTTAAATAATAGAACTTGTATTAAAAAAATCATTATTATCTCCAAAAAATTCTTACAATCCCCAAATATATATTCGGCTTTAAATAACTTTAAAAAGGTAGATAAACTGTAAAAAAACAATTCAGTCTATTTTTTATTTTTTTAAAATTCAATCTATATTTTTATCTATATACTTTTAATTCAAGAATGATAAATAATTCATAATTTTATACGTAATATTGAATAGTAAATATAATATTCAGGACAATTTATAGCTCTTTTTTCTTTTGATATTGTGCTTTTAAGATCAGAGTGAAAGTTACATAATTTTGAATCATACTTATTATAAAAACCCAGGTTGTGTGTGTGTGTCTGTTCGTTTATATATGGGATCGGATTTCCTACATTTTTCAACCGATTTCAACAAAACTTCACAGGACTACGTAAAATTACCTTGCGGTGGTTCTGACAATGTCAAAATTTGGAAAAACACAAGTTTTCGCACGAAATCAATTTGAAAACACGATTAAGAGACATTAATGAAAGGGGGACAACTCATATCGAGTTATACTTATTATAAAACCCAGGTTGTTTGTTTGTGTGTGTGTGTGTGTGTGTTCGTTTATATATGGGATCGGATTTCCTACATTTTTCAACCGATTTCAACAAAACTTTTTTTTGGCAGTAGTGTTTCTTATTGTCTTGCACATTTTTTTCTTTATTTTTACATTCAGAATGCTTTAAAAATTCCATTTACAAGACAATTATTTATAATAAAATTCTATTCAATCGGTAGACCTATAACGATTGAAAACAATGTTTTTGTTTGAGTTTGGGTTTGACCAATTCGTAAAAAAACAAAACAAAAAAAAACTAATTAAGACATGCGTGTCCGTCAACCTTAAACAATAATCTTTGTCAATTTTATTTTTCAGTCTTTATGATGGTCGATACATGATCTATCTCTTACTGTTACATCCTCGGGCAACGCCGGGCTCTACTGCTAGTCCTTAATATATGATTAAAAAAACAAACAAAAATAAAATTTTAAAAATACAATTTATAGTTATTTTTGGGTCAATATATAAAATATTGAATCTATCATGATAGTTGCACTAAATTGAATTGTTGATATAAGATTCAAACTCCCAATAGAATATTTTAAAGAAGAAATTTTAGCTGTTTTTCTTCATATATATATTTCTTATATTAATTTTCATACGTATTTACCATTGCGTCGGATTTTCATCAACTATTGGTCATACACACACAGCGTACGATGGGTAAATTGTCGCTATTTTATATTTTTAATTTCGCGCATGCGCATTTTTTGTTTTTGATCTTGTCGACTGTAGGGTCAGTTGGGCATCGTCTGTGAAAAAAAGAGTACCTTGACGCAATTCATTCCGCCAGAAATTTGGAAACGGCATGCTGTACTGTTTGGCATTCGCGCCGGAAGCTCCAATACGAAGAATACAGAGTGGTTGGATGTCAATCTGAGGCAAATGCAGAGGATTCGGAAAGAGTTGGATGAGTCTGATTGGGTGATTACGAAAGTGTTTGGAGTGACCATTAGTGATAGTGACGTTATGCCTCCATTCATCCTCCGACAGAGACACAGACTCAACACTGAGGCGTACATCAAGTGCCTTGAGGAGGTAGTGCTGCCCTGGGTAAAAAGGATGATTGTTAGAAAACCCTATGTCTAGTAACAGGACTCTGCACCATGCCACACAAGCAGGAAAATCCATTCATGGCTGCCAGATAATTTCTGCAACCATATCACCCACAACATCTGGCCACCTCACTCCCCAGACTGCAACCTCCTTGATTATTATGAGTGCGTCGCAGTTGAGCGGGAAAACCAACAAAACTCCTCTTAACACCAAAGATGAACTGAAGGCAAGGATTATGGAAGTATTCACCAACTTAAACAAGGACAACATCCAGAAGAGTTGCAGCAGATTCTGAAGTCGTTCGTGGTTGAAGCCAATGGTGATTTACTTTTTATTATTTCAAGATATGTTTGTGTAATTTTGCTAAATATATCTGCTAAAATGAGATGTCAATGTTATTTTCATTTTTGCGTAATTTAAACGACCTTTTATCTATCGCACCCTGTATATACAGTATACACACACACACACACATACACATATATATATATATATATATATATATATATATATATATATATATATATATATATATATATATATATATATATATATATATATATATATATATATATATATATATATATATATATATATATATTATATATATATATATATATATATATATATATATATATATATATATATATATATAAAGACAGATAAACAGGTTCTGACATAGAAATGCACACTGCATAGTGATTGTCAATTTCGTCAGACCATATCGATGCCAGGGACCATGCAGTATTGATTCCTGTATATACCCTTATATATATATATATATATATATATATATATATATATATATATATATAGGATATAGATAGATAGATAGATAGATAATTATAGATAAATATTGATAATTACGCATTGAGTGCCGGTCTTTATAGAACTGTATTCGATTTATAACA